CCTGTGGGAATTTTATAATATTTTTTTCTTATAAACTTCTAATTAAGCCTGGGTGATTTCTAGAAGAGATAAATTGGCCCATCTTTCATCATCATCTTTCTTTCTTGGTAGGAAACATCAGGTCTAAGTCCTACTAATCTGTACAGAAAAGATTCTCCAGTTTCTTCCAGAGTAAGAATATTTAGTTGGATTTGGATTTCTTATAAATGTAGTTTAGAGGGAAGAAGAGTCAAACCATTTGTGCAGAAAATACATAAAAATGTTTCAGAAGTGAAGAAACGTAACATTTTAGATTTGTACAGTTTGACATCAGGCAAAACTGAAAGTGAGGTTTTTTGATTTGCACAAGGACAGTGTTTGTTGTCACCCTCTAATATTGTACACTCGCTATTTCCAACTTAAATTATTGATCACATCACTTTACGTGGGCAGCATGAGAAGGAGAAGAGGTCTGTCTTTAAGGGATGCATATAAATTGAACCATTTTTTTACAAATACAATAAATTGCTGGTTATAATGATGAAAAAGATCTCCTGGAATGGAGATTCCTTGCAGAACAGGAAATGGCCTTACTCAAGGAGACAGAAGCTGAACTGAATAGGGGTTCAGTAGGGGTCAATTCTTTGGGGCTTTATCTCAGCCTAGAGGCATTTGATTCTTCTGGCAACTTGTGGTGGGAGATGGAAGGCTCCTGTAGGATTGTACCATGTGAACACAAGAGGTTAAATATGAAAGAACATGAAGCTATCGGGACTCAGAAGGTATTTGGTTAAGTCTACACACAGAATGCTTCTTAAGTTAGGAGTCTGAAAACCATCCCACCTCTAGCCTTGGAGATCTAGAGGCCAGATAGAAAGAGATCTCGAGCATTTCTAAGGACAGTAAATTTAAATGTGTTCATATATCTGTATCTCTGCTCCTCCCTGTAGAGTATGTTGTGCATAATGAACTGTTTTAAACTGTAAGTAGAAGAAGAACACTTTCACTATGAAAATTTTATATTTCTATATTTCATTGGCCAATATTATTTCATCATTGGTATTGTATCAACAAACTCACTTATCATCCTGTGGTATCACCTATTTGCAATATTGTGATCAGACTAGGTACAACGCCAGTTTAATCACCTGAGAACTGAAGCAGAAATTACATATAACCTCAGGTGTGACCTAGAAGCTCAGTTTAACTGTGGGAAAATATTGCCAATAACAAGATGAGTAAGAAGTTTACAGTTCTTAGTAATGTTTATTATGCAATAGACAGTGCCTAATTAAGGCCTCCGATCTCTTTGCATTTTATCTCACCTCATGACATTTGTATAGCAGCATTTTATAATAGAATAACAGTAAAGATAAAAATTTGAGTATTTTGATTTTATTTATAGCTGTGAGAACTTACTTTACAATTTATCATTTGGTCCAGGAATTCAGTTATCTTAAAAGGAAACTAAATTTTTCAATGACAAGTACCAGTTATGACTAAAAACTCAGCATTACCACCAATAAATCTAATCTACATGCATTAAAGAGAAAAATTTTCCTGACAGTTTTTTATTACTTACTCCCACTATAATATTTCATCTGTTTCGATATATGCATATAATCAAAATAAAGAAGTAACTGTGATATCTCTGTTTTGAGACATAGTACCTGTCATTCTTAAAGATTACTGCCATGAACGATGCATTTGTGTACCATATAATAAATAATTTTTTTAAATAATAGGTAATATTTAATTTGTTATCCAGAAACACAAAGCATTCTGTAGATCTTTTACAAAAGAACAGTGAATTGCTTTAAAGGTGGATATGATGAAAGGAAAAACAAGGCTTTGGCTTTGAAAGGTAATTCATCTACTTCTAAAGAAGATTCTACAAGTCTGTAAAGAAAAAGGTTGAAGGCAATTCCCTGCAAGTAAGCAATAGCTATAAGGCTGCACTAGGCAAAACTAACTCACACACTACCCTGACCTTCTAGACACATTTGTAGATAATGTTGATTCTTCTGACAGCAGACACAAATCCTCACAGTTCTGTGGGAAGATATTTCAGTTCTGCATTGAAACTATATTTTCTGTAGCATTAGGTTGATAATTTTTGTAAGATAGAAATTTTGAGTTATACAGCAGTATAATGCATGTTATAGCCTACACTTTGCAAAATATAGCCATGGTCTTATAATGCTCATACTAAGATAAGTTTCTTCTGTATGGCAGTTGGAGAATGATCTAGTCTGGGCCTAATCATTGATGTTTGGCAGCAAAGCAGCAGCAGCTTAAATTAAACTGCCAGAGTCAAATACTCTGAAAGGCAGTTTCTGGGTCCAAACTTTCAAGATCTAGATGTTGCTGAAAAAGAGAGATGCAGACAGATTGAGGAGATGAAACAAAAACACACACGAGAAGCAGCTTCCTAGAACAATGCATTTGTTTGTTTGTTTCTGAAAATATCTACTGGAAATGTGATGTGAGAATACATATAAATAGAACTTGTTGCCTTTGTATAAGAGTCCTGTTCTGAATACACATTGATATTAGGCTGGATTTATGGAAATACCAATGTTTCCCTTTCTCCTTAGATATTTGTAATATTTGAAAGGTTAGTTTAGTGTTTGTTTACCAGCATTTCATTCTACATTTTCAGTACATGCCCTTTCAGTCTGGGTCCAGGCACAGTGAAAAAAAGTAATAAAATGTGCATTTTGTAAAATACGTAAAATGTTATGTCCTGACCACACTTCAGGAAAAAATGCAAGCTTTATATAAAGCCATGCATTCTTTCAGCGTGTATAATGTTCTGTGATACAGCTTAGGCAGAAAAGAAGGGAAGGAAGCATGGGAGTATTTCCCTAGATTTGCACTGTCTCCTTTGTGCTACCACCTTTCTGCGATGATTGCCCTGTGTTTATCTGTAGCTGGAAGCAGATGTTGGGCAACACAGTGCAAACTCTCCCAGAAGCAGCTTAACTTACCTGTGTACAGGTGTGCTGCCCCCACACCCCTTCCACACACTGCTAGAATATGGCAGCATGTCTTGGGGTCCAGTTCTGTCATCTCCCTGGCATGACACCCTCTCCATGGGAGAGTGTGGTTTGTAAGGCATGGCTTTGGTTCCACAGACCTCATGAATATCTAGCGAAGGCTGAAGGAGAGGAAGGGAAAACAGAAGGGATATTTCTTCATGCATGAACAGAATGTTTTTAAACAAATTCGTCTTGCTCATTTTAAAAGCCATAAATTTTTATTGCTACGCAGAGATATACCTATTTGCTACTTCCATTAAGGAGGCTGTATCTGTAGAAGTGTTGAAAAAACAGTATGCTGTTACCTCAATATTTTCTTCTCACATACAAAGTTAAATGTCATCTGGATGTTACTGACAGAATGTTCTGTCTCTTACTACAAGAAGCTGAGAATGTTATGAGAAGACCAACTCTTGTCCTGAGACAAAGACTGAAAAAAAGCAGGAAAGGTTAAGAAAAACCACTTCTCCCACAACACTTTGAAGAAGTCCCCCCAGATTTTTGTGACAATAACCCCATTTGGCTATCAAAAATCCCCAAATAGTCTCTATTATTTGAGCTGTCTGTCTGGGAACTCAGGCAGCTGATAGCCAGAATAAATCAGGAACAATCTGTTTGTGGATTATTCAAGACCCTGAACAAAGGAGGGTATCCAAAGGTTCTTGGAGACCTGGAATTGCATGCCAGTCTCCGTTTCTTGTCTAGCAAATGTTTCTGTCATGTGAGATCTATGCCTAACCAGGCAATAATTTGGTGACTGTACCAATTAGACATAGAACAGTTTTTTCTTGGATATAAATTTTCACTAATTACAATGAGTCATCATCACTAAACGCTTTGGGGCTTGCATGCGATATTTTTCTCTCTCCAAATTTCAGTACTATGTTGGAGAGATTGTCACAAAAGTATTTTCCAGATGTCCCCGAAAATAGGAGTTAAAAGACTGTGGCAGTTTAATATAGACATTTCTAACTTCTGGAGTCACTCACTCCTAAAGATGATTGGATATGGATTGACTGTGACCATAGATGATGAGGATGCCTGCCTGGTGCCAAGCTTGCTTTCCTGAAAGTTTCCTATCTTTTATTACAAGATAGGAGAAGCCTATCTTGTAATAAAAGACAGTCAGGGTAGTTGCATGATTTTTCTTAGCTGTGATTTCACACTGTACCAACTTGAGATGTTGCTTGTTTGACCAATGCCAGAGATTTCATGATATTAAGTTTGGGAAGTGGAAGGATGAAGCTGAAGGTGAATGGAGGGGCTGTTGTGGCGTGTGTAGGAGTTACTCCTTGGACTCTTTACGTCTTGGTAGACTGGCGGATACAGAGCTCTCAGATGTACATCAATGGGATGCAATGGAGGACTCAGAAAGGACTGGGAGGTTTTGAATCTTCATATAAACATTTCAACTAATGCCCAAATTGCTCTGAGACCAAAAGAAGTTGAACAGAACTGAAGAAATTAATTATTCAGACTAACTTGCCAGACACAGACATTCACTACAGCAGAGATGGAAGTTTAGCATTTGAAGATCATTTTATTACTTTTTCTTTGCTCCCAGAAAAATGCTTTAGCACCTTTAGAAATAGAAAGTGCTTTAATAGTTCAAACTCACCTAAAAAGCAGTAAAGAATATTTCAGCTATAAGATCTAAAGTTTTTCTAAATTGCATTTTTTCTTTCAAGAAAGCCTAGTAGAAATATACAGCCTTGAAAATTCATTATTCCTCTTCTTTGTCAACTTGACCTCCTATCCTCAAATTTGAGAATGGAAGATACAGTCCTAATAGTGTAAACCCTTTTTAAAACTTCATAAATCAAGGCAAAGAAATTCATGTGGAACTTTACACTAGTGACTCATGTTTCAACACAAGCATACTGTCATAAAACGTATCAGTAGGATACGCTTTATACTTTTAACTTCATATTTTTTTTGGTAAAATGTCAATATGAACAACTTTTTTCTCTGTTTGCCCAGAACTAGAGGCAGAGGAGTGGTGCAAACATCTTTGCATGGAGTGTCTAGGAGCCAGGCTCAATGATATAAGTCTTGGGGAACCAGATTTGCTTGCTGCTGGAGTTCAGAGAGAACAAAATGGTAAGTAACTTTGTATTTGCTCCTAGATCAGTTCTTAGGTGATGTCCCATGTTATCTTTGCTTTTGTTTGTTGTCGTGGGGACTTTTGCTATTATCTAGAAGCACATCATTAGTAATGAAACATTTGGATGCGTTTTTGAAGCTTAATCCTGTTTATTTCTACAAATAAGGATAAATAAATTTCATGCCAAATAGCATATGTAGAATGAATTCATGTCTTCATAGTGATCTTATTTTCCTGTCATGGGAAATAATGACCATGACCCTTCTGGTTCTGGAAATTATGGCCTCTGTGCAGAGGAATAAAACAGCAGCTCTTGTTCTGCAGCCTTTTAAAGACAATGATGAACATATTAACACCAATTTGGACTGCAAAACACATATTTGCTTTAAATTCACACCTGTCTTGAATATTGAAGACAGGATCATCTAAATGTTGTCAAATATGGGTGAAAAGGGCAATGACAGATGTTAGTCAGCACTAAGCCTGAGGTTTAAATCTTCATCTAAGGGCTATTTGGATTAGACACATGCACAGGAAGAATGCTAGTGGGTGGAATATGCAATAACAAAAGAAAATCTGTGATTATCCTGTCATTTAATTCCTATTAATGAATACGAGGGCAACACAAAATGTGCTCATTTATTCCTCCCTAAATTACAGCTCTCAATGATTATTACTGTCTTGATGCTTTTATAAGATGCAATAGCTTTCAACAAAGTAATAACACACACTGCTTCAATGGTCATAAAACATCAAGCCAACTATCATTATAAACAAAATTACATAATTAAATTATAGAATGAATGGCATTATATTGATTATATTGTATTAATTTCTCTGAACCTTATAGCATATAGCACAAAATATACAGAAATCTTTAAGGAATTTTGGTCAAAAAACAGATACGTTGAAATGTGATTTATAAGAAGTTCAAATATTTGTAAAATTATTTGCCTGCTATGAGACACAGAATTCATTTTGTAGTCTCAAACTACTTAACAAAGGGAAAGCTACTAATGTTGTAGGAAAGTGATAATGATCAGACACCACTCAAAGCATCCCATCTGCTGTATGTTCATAGGCCATAGGTATAAAACTCAATGTGTGCTATTGAAGAGAGAACTTATGTGAGCAGGGGGAGCTCCTTCACAAATGTGATAGGAAATAAATCGAGCCAAAAGCCTGTGATGTGAGCAGAAAAATATCATGAAATTCCTCAAACTCTTCGTGCAGTACATTCATGTACCATCCAGCAGCTTTTGGACATAGATGGAAAATATTACATTTTATCATGTTCTTGAAAGAGATCCAGTTACACACACGTGACCTCCAGGCAACATAGATTAGGTCTGTTGTATGAGCTAGTCTTGATTCAATTGCCTTAGTCTAGAAATTAATTGCAGTGCTACCAACCAGCATATATGAACATAATTAGCATCTTTATTGTTCTAAGTAAATAAATGAAAGGAAACAAAGAGGCAAAGCATGTATTTGTTGTACAAATCACATGAATAATAATGCATGGAGGGTATCATTAGCTGTATTCTTTTAAAACAAGTGACTGAATACATATAATCCAATATTTGACAATCATGCTCTACTAAATCATTAGTTACAGTATCTCAGACAAATAATTCTGACACCTATCCGCATCCTTCCCTCATCCCCTTGATGTACAACTTTGCATTTTAATAAGCATGCTTAATATTCAAAGTTGTCTTGTTCAGAAGCAAAGCAAATTCTGTTTTGAGTGTCTTTTAATCAACTTGGAAGGAGGGAAAACTACAGAGATTCTTACTATTGATATGAAATCTACCATTTTGTTCATTTATCTGGCTGTAAGAACCTGCAGTTGCAATCAAATTTCTGTAGCAGATTCCTTTAGTAAAATTGGTTGAGTGGAACCATGACTTCAGTTTATACTTGTTATCTTATTCTGCAAACCTGGTGGTATCATTCCCCATATGACAGTGGTATTGAAAAGGTGAGTAGTTGTAGGGTGGAATCATCTGGTGGGCTATAAAAAATTCAAATTTTTAGTTTATTTTCTTACACATTTTCCCCATATTATAGCTCTTACGCACATGCTATCAAACATTGTAGTTCAAAAGATACCTAAAAACATTTTAAAATTTAGTGATCTTTTGTTGACCTGAAACTGAAAGGGCAAAGTTTGCTCATTGCGAAAGTGGCAGCTGTGTCACTCTCTGAATAATTTTATTTTTTTGTGTTAAATAAAAACTGTACACTGGTATAGTACCTTTGAATGTCATTATTTTGAAATATATTGCAAGTATGACAACTTCATAGAATTCCTCTTGAGTTAGTCAATTTATTGATGTTTATTTGAAACAGAGATGTGAGAATACAGTTCGTAAAACCTGTAATACAACCTCAAAGCCTCAGCATCTGGTTTCATGAGAGTTCTGTTGCCTGAACCGTACAAGGGCTTTCTTTCAAGTCACTGAACAAAAGATGTCTCTTGATATCTGAGCAAGACCACAGTTTGTAATAAACATTATAATGTCAATGGTTTTTCAATTTTAGATAAATTTATTTTTTTACACTTTTAAAAACTGAGAGAAATTGAATAATGATGTTATACTGTTGATATCTCCATGATATGACGAGTGTTAGTACCATTAATCCCACAACAACAGATGTATTAACCATTAATTGTATCTCATTCCACTGAGTTTTTTTTTAAATGGTTACTTTGTCCTAAAGAGTTTCTGAAATGTTTAAAATTTAATAAAGATACTTCCTTGGTCATAGAAGAACTAGCCTAATAAGGTGGGATTTTCATGAACTGCTTTGCATTTTCCAAGCAATAATATTTTTAATATGCAATGTTCATCAGTTCAACTACTTGCCCCTTCTTGTCCTTAAAGGACATTTGCATGGTGTAAAGATATTCACTGAATGGATCAGGTAAACTGGCTCTCTCTTGAAAAAAAAACAAACAAAAACTTTCTGTTCTGTAAGTTTGTGGTTTAGTTTTTGCATGTGACCACTGAGGGCGCTACCCTCAGTTTGCAACATTAGAAATAATTTTCTTAATTGTTGTTATATATGCCCTGGGACCATTAAAATTGCTACATCCTTCTTATATTTTTTTATACTCAAGGAATCACATTTCAGAAAATACTTGGCAAGGAAAATACATGTTTTCTATCATTTGTTTAATACCTCTTTTTATTACATCTGAGCCTGTTTATTGTCCCGCTCTCACTCTTGAGGTTCTCCTGAGATGAACTTTACATTTCAGAAGGGAAGACACCTGATTCTCTGTGATAGGACTGCAACAATATGATTTGCAAAAACCCATATTTTTTATAGTTCTGAGTTGTTCAGTAAGTGCTAGTGAGATCTGTTTTACTTTAGTTGCAGTGTTGCTTGGCCCTCCAGCACCAAGCAGTTCTGCAGTGTTGACAACAAAAAGAGGCAAACTGTAAAGCAGCACTGCTTACAGCAGAGAGCTCTAGCTACTATGTCTTGTAGGAAGTAGAGACAAGACATCTAAGCAATTCTTGTGCAAAGCACATCAGTAACAAAAAGCTTCTTGCTGGATTTTACCTCCGTTATTACTTTCAAGAAGTATTATCATAAGTCTTGCTGTGTAAACTCTGATGCAGAAAATTACCCTTAGGTGGTTTTCTTTTTAAATTTAAGGCTCACAACTAATGGCTGCTTAGTTTAGAATGATACGCAGCTTTCAATAAAAGTGAGATGTAAAATGAAGTTTCTGTTGCTGTCCAACCATCTCTCCTGCAAATCTAAGAGACTAGAATGTGTTCCTCAGTCCTAAAGCAGCAACCTTGTTTCTGTTTAAACTTCTTTTCACACCAAACACAGTTTCTTAGTGCTTATGTATGTCCATTTGGATTATTTGCTAAAGAATTAAAATACAGTATGATAGCAAAATCAGTAAAGACCTCACCTCCTGATCCTATTCAGATATTTCAGTATAATGGCAGTGAAGCTGTATATGAAATGATAAGACAAATAATAGTACAGAGTTATAACTCCAGGAAAGAAAATCTGGACTAAGTTGGATCTTATAACACTGTTGACTTCTAAGCAATATCCTGTGATACCTGCATACACATTTCATAATCCTTAGGTTTCTCAAGCTGCTGCTAAGCAAAGAAATTGTGAATGTAGAGTACTGACTTTGTTTAGGGGAATTGGAGGCTTCCTTTTCAGCTCTCAGTGAATTTGGAAGCATTTCCAATATATTCCAAAATGTAATGACAAAAACAAATGTTTGGGTTTTTTAAAATTTTTATCTTCCCAGGTGACATCATATCTAGAATTTGTCCATGCTCACTGCTTCCAATGTGTCATTGTTTTCATTCTCTATAAAAGGAAGCAATTTCTAAGAAGGCATCCAAATGGACAGTATACAATGACAGACTATATTTACTGTGAAAAAGAAACCAGAATATTCAAGACAATATTGGTTAAAAAAAGCATTATGTGTAGACTATTGATAAATTCACTCTTTAGGAGCAGGTGCTTCTGTTTTGTGAAGACTCTATTCCTGTCTATTTTGAACACTAAATAATAGCACTAACAGAGCTGAATACTTGTGCTAAATCATATTCTATTAAACTGTACTTGTAAACCTGATTTAAAACCTGAAGAAAATGGGCAAATGGTAAAATGAAAATTTTTAAACTGAAGACAGAACCAGATCCATCTTTTACTGCTGCAGCTCGTTTATTGTAACTTATCATGTCTGTGATATCAATATGATGCTTTTCTATTACATGTTTTGGGTTTTTTGATTTTTTTTTTTAATTTTACTGCATTATAAAGATAATTTTGATTTTAAAAGTCTGAAGGAGTTTAAAAGATAATTGGTTTTTTTGCTTTTCCTCCCTGTCTAATATTTAAATTAATATCCCATAAAATTATTTCCTTTGTAAGGTTTTTCTTCTTTCATAACTTTGGTTTTGCCTTCTTTTTTTTATTTAAAAACATTCCACAGGAGTACCAGTCTTGCTTCCTGGATTTTAATTGCAAGAAACTCCTTAATTCTTGTTAGCAAAAATGTAGCTTTTCATAGTGAACAACATCCTCGAATCCTCAGAAGAGGATTATGAGTTATTTCTTTGTGCTGCATATTGAGATTATAAAATATAGCCAAAGCATAGAGACTTCATAATTACATTCACAGAGCTGACTTGTTTTAGGGCATTTTCTAGGGTCTGTAGAATCTCTGTAATTTAATACATAAAAACACTTTGAATGATTTTGATTCGTCTTCTGTTATCCTTAATTCATTTTCATACATTGGATTTGTTTGTTCATTTTTCAAATCAATGAAACACAGACAGCTTTATTCAGAAATGTAAGGTGTTTACAGTTTAAATGGCTGGTTAATCCAGTAAGACTTCAGATTCTTCTCTACCTTACTGCTTATCACTGAAACAATTCAAAATATTTATCTATGGTAGCCTTCATATTTTTATTGAGATGCTTATAAACATTTCCATGCATTTTTAATGGAAGCAAAGCAGAATATTTCTAATCAAAGGAAAAAAATTATTTCTGAAGTCCTGGTTCCTCACCGTGTACAGCAGAAGTGAAACATTCTAGTAAATCCAACATATGAATGAACACAAAATGTTGTGCCTTCAAGACTTAAAGTTCTCTTTCCACCTGAAAATTAACCACAGGTGGAAGTGTCATAGGTGGAGGAGTTTATTTCATGCGTAAACTGAGTATTTGCTTTTAAAGCCTGTTCTTATTTATATAGGCACCACGAACCAGACTGTCTCCTTCCATAAGTAATTTTTTACCAATCATTAAAACTGAAATGAAACCAAGCATCTGGATTACAAGATTGCGATGTCATCTGGTCGATTTTCCAACTGGTATGATTTAGGCAGAGGAATCCAGTGATAAAATGGCAGAACCAGGATCACTGGGTTTTGATGATTTTTCTTCCCCAGTACAGCAGGAAGGCTGATAGCATTTTGGAGTTGCTGCCAAGTCTCCATCTCAGTCAATATGCTCATTTTAATAAAGACTCTTATGCTCCTATGCCCTGGAAAACATTATTAAGTGTTGTATTCTTGCCAAAGCCCAAATGCTAAACACCTTTTCATGCACAAAGAGTATGATGAAGCATTGCTCTGCTTATTCAAGGAGATGGGAAAGAGCAGTTACATTGAGTGGAATAATAAGTGTTGCAACATATCAGCATTTTTTTCTCATCCTGGCTCCCCCAGTCCCTTAACTTTGTTCTCATCAGTTTTCGAGGAGGTAGGATGATAGGGGTGCTGAATGCTGAGGAATTGCACCTGCTCAGTCTCAGTCTTACCTTGTCCAACAATATCACATCCACTTGCTTGGTTTCTTCCATCTCACTCCTTTCTGGGTCCCTCACTAACTTCTATTTGCTTAGTCTTGTTATCCACTGAACTCTTATTATCTCATCCCACTCATATGCAGATGGTGTCTGAACCACAGAAAAGCTAAATGAGCTATGGAATGTCATTCAGAAGATCTGGTGTCAGAATTCAACTGGGATTCCCAAATCTGGCCTATGAATATTTGTACTTGCCTGGATAAGTTTAAGGACAAAACATGCCACTAAAAATTGAATTGACTGTATTACCATTAGCTAATAGATACCTGTTCAAATATTTTCTGAAATTGAAAAATTGGACTCTGCATGTTAATTAATAAAATCATTTAATAGTATCTACACCTTTCCCTGTCCTCATTTGCCCACTACTCAAAAGTATAGTTTTTGTTCCAAAAGCAAATATATCCATCCCAAATCATCTCCAGCACATATATTTGTACCCTTGGTTTTCTTGCCAATTTAATTACGTTCCAAGGGTGCTACATTTTGCCCTGCAGCTGATGTTCACTTTAATCAGACATACTTTCTTTAATCCATGATATCTCACCTTAGACACTGACCTCCCATGCAAAGTCAGCAAATGTCTCCTGACAGTTTGAGGATACCATATGTCCTGACTACCCTTCATGCAATAATATCCTGAAATACTTCAAAGAAGTTGAGCATTTCATGAGTATCCTGGTAATGTCTAAACCAAGCTGAAATGTTCTGTGCCTTCAACACAACAGTTTAATGTTTACTTCAGAAAATAATTGTACCTTTTAATTTTATCTGCTGTCAGAGACATTCTGTCAGTGAAGATAGGGAAAGAGAAAGGGAAAGATTTTCATTCGCACGTAGTAGCCCCATTCGCCCATAAATACATTGTGTTATTTCATGTAATGTAAGAGAGAAACATCTTACATGTCAGTCACCTGCATCTTTCTTTCAAATAGAGCAGGGAAGTAGCAATAATATGAATATTGAAAGGACATTTATATATAGATATATATAATTCCAGTGCAAGTATAAGTTATGTTTTCTTTACTATTCCCTTTCCAATGTGGTCATCAGCCCATATTCCCATGTGTGAGTCTTTCTATTTACTTTAGTAGTCATTACATTAGACCTCTGCACCATGAACTCCTCTGAGGGTTGGGAGAAATTCTTTTCAGTGACCTCAGCAGCTTCTGCTAATCTATTTGATCTGTGTGTCAGAAGACTTTTACACAATGTTTGGACTTTCACATTTGGGACCTTAATCATAAAATGAAACTTTTAGGGCTAACACACCCATTAGTATGACTAATGAGAACTAGGGCCTGGGAGAAGAGGTTGTGACTGAATGGATCAACTGGGGAGTCATTAATAGGACAAAATTAAATTGACTGAAACAGAACAACATTGGGGATGACAAGTTTACTTATATCTATGCAGGGCAGCAATTTTTACTGCTCACCCAGCAGTTCCCTGCTTTCACTACTTCCTTAACCAAACTTTTACTACTTTATTCACACACACACACGCTCATACACTTCTAAGATATTTACTTGCAATATTTTAATTCTTTTGTCAGACAGCTATATATATCAAATGTCTAAAAAATGGAGACATAATGTCTGTGATATTGAATGTCAAACACATGCATCTAATTTTGACTATTGCAATAAATTTCTCTCACTTTAATTTCAATTCCTTCCTAATTTTTATGAGGACACTGTGAGAAAATTCAGTTCAAATAGTGGATGAAAAGTGTCCCACACCAAACTCTAATTTCTTTTTCGAGTAATTGGAGACAATTTTCCTACAAGTTGCCCCTTTAAAGAGCATTTTCTCAGTATCATTTGTTGAATGAGCATTGCTCATGCTCATACTTTAAATTATTCTTGCTTTTTTGTCAACAACCTTTAGGCAGTAACACTGACATTTTGCATTTCTACCCTTTCCAAAGATGAAAGGAAACTGTGACATAAAAGTTGTGAATCAGCTGCACTCTCCCATATTATGCTATTAAGCCTCAATACTGCAGTTCATTTAGAGTTAAGATATAGGCCAGCACTTCCAACTGTAGCACCAGAAATTTAACAGAGTTTTTCACTCTTTGTAAAAGCAACTTACAGAAAAAGAAAATTGCATTTTTATTTAAAATTCTCTTGCTAATAATGTGGTTTACTTCCTTCCATATGAGTTAATTGTCTTTTATATAATTTTGGGGTTTTTCTTTTTTTTTTCCTTTTTTAAGGATTTTTTTTTTTTTGCGTTGCTTATTTTATCACATGCAATTTAGGCACTTCAGAAAATTACTAATGCCCTTGACTCCTACCACAGTAAGTGCACTTTGCAAGGGAAGTGCAGCTGATAGTGATTGATGTCATGACCATACTAATATGTTGTGTTGAATCAGATTTTTCAAGAAAGCAACAGATGACTAAAATTGTTAATTTGACAAATAATAATGTCTTTGGCAAATAAATAGAAACAATGCAAGGAATGTAATTATTAACAAGCTTCAATAAGTAAACCTTGGTTTGCAATTTCAAGGACAGTTTTTCTAAGAGGCAATATAAGGTTGCACATATATATTTTGTCAAGATACATATAGTTCTGGTTTTGAGTGAGGAGTCTCTGTCAGAGTTCATGTTATTGTGAATTTTGATTTGTAAGGGGTCATGGACGTTAATGTGAAGATAAAAGAGGATTTCAGTTAAGTTGCTGGGAACGTATGTCCAAGAGGACTATGCAGATCATCTGTGAAAGATATCTCAGTCTGCTGCATCATTTATAATGAAAATGAAATGAAGATGATTTCCCTCTCACTCTTCTCGTTTACACAAGCAAGACTTTTTCAACATCAGTGGGTCTTCACCTCTGCTAAAAGCTAGAAATTTGGCTTTAATTTCTGAACCATCAAAGCTAAAGATTTTATTTCAATTTTTTTTTTGCCAGTATAAAATCTTGCTTTAACTTGTGATGTCTTACCTTGTGTTTTTTTCCAGAACGATTCAATGTATATCTTATGCCTACACCAAATTTAGATATCTATGGGGAATGTACAATGCAGATCACACATGAAAACATATATCTCTGGGACATCCACAACGCCAAGGTCAAGCTGGTCATGTGGCCTCTGAGCTCTTTGAGGAGATATGGACGTGACTCAACGTGGTTTACATTTGAGTCTGGAAGGTAAGAGCTAAGGAGATGGAAAACGAAGAAGAGATGAGCAGAGCTTTTTGAAAAGCAGTCTAATAAGTTAGATTAGCCTCTCATTATAAAGCAAGACAGAATAATGGCCTCTACATAAACTTCTGTTTGCTGAACATTACTTTTTAATAGGTTCAGCCCAGTCTTTGAAATAAATGTTACTATGTGTTATATTTAAAATGAGCTTAAGCTTCCTCTGACTTTTATTTAACTGTATTGAAATGTCATACTTAAGGTTTATGCGTCTCGCTGTGCTTAAACACTAGTGTGGTATAATTTGAGTACTTTCGATGTAGAAGAAATTAATTCTAAATCATGGAAAAGGTTCATCACACAGTATGAATAGAATAACTTTTATTACAATGGATATTATTCTTTTTGGATGTTCCTGATGACTGATTGCCACCCTAGAATATAATTACAAGCAGGAATACAGAGAACACTGTGAATCCATAAAAGAGCTGGCTCTTTTTTCTGCCTGCAGTTTGCCATTTCCATTCTCGGATCAGTTTTAAATGTCCATGGAGCTCTGTTTTGTTTCTTTTTAAATCACTGCCAGGGTGATCAGTTTAACCACATCATTTGTGTTTTCTGTAGTCAAACACAGGAATTTTTGGAGCGNTTTTTCATATCTTTTTAATGCATTTTGTATCTTGCCATTTAGTTCACCGTCTTTTCTTCATTTCTGCACAAAAATTATTCTGCATTTAACACTCCCTTTGGTGGTGTTTGATCTTGTATTTTATGGTTCTAGACTATTGTTCTTTATGGTTTGGTTTGGGTTTATTATGGTTTGTTATACTCCTTTATGAGAAGCCTGAACTTTCTGAAGCAATCTGTGAAATTACAGGTGTCTCTAAACTCTTGGGTTAGACACATTGTCTTGTTAAAAATCTTTATACACATTTTGATGTATACTTATTCAATATCATTAACAAATATTCACAAAAGCACAGTTTGTGATCAGAAACAAAAACATAGATCAAATGGACCCCAGTGCCTAAGAAGGTAATGTCCAGAATTCCTCCGCAGGAAGGGAATTACCACTTTACAAGTAATTTGTATATCCAGACTGATGTCACTTGACCACTTTGGTGCTCTGTTACTTTTCTGTGACGGCTTCACAATTAAAAATCTTGAAGGCATCATTACTTTTTTTAAATTTGATCTTTTTAAAGGGAAAATTAGCAAAGTTAACCCATGTTTCAACTTGATTTCAATGATTAAACTGAGTGGCTTATTCAAATATACAATTTTAGCAAGAATTAGCATTTCAAGCCTCCTACAGTATTTTAATTCCATTTCAAGCCTCCTACAGTATTTTGATTCCATACTAGTATCTGAACATCATCTGCCCTTGCAGTCCATGGACCATGTGACCTGATGAAAAGTGGATTGTTTGTCTTTGATCTGATTCCTCCCTTTTTACTTGCTTGGGAGTACTTTCTCTATCTGATTTGGAAATGCTTAAAGTAAAAAGTAGGGCTAGAGAAACATTAGTACCTTCAATAACATCTGAAGGCTATATAGGGCAACACTAATACTAGTTTTAAAACCAGTTGTTGATTTGCTTGGGGTTTTATTTTTATTTTTTAATCAACAAATCATCTTTCTTATCTTTCTGAACATGATTTTCTTTGTGCCCTGATCTGCTAGTACCTTAATACAATAAATTCCTGATGCATGTTGTTTTATCAGAAGTGAAGCACTCATCCATGTTTTATGAGAATATTATGCAGTAAAAGTGTTGTTGCTTTAATTTTCCCCTAAGGCTTAAATATTAAATGTAGACAATTGCTTTAAAGGAAATATTTTTAAATAGGTTCTTATGTTTTAGGGAGTTTTAGCAGATATCCAGTATATGTGTATGAGGTTTGCATGAACATTAAAACCTCAGTTTCATATATTTATTATACATCCTGAGTTTTTGTATTACTTTGTTTGAGAAAATAAATCCCTACCATTAAAATAAATGGACATATTCACAAAGGGATACTATGTTAAATAAATTAATCAAAATGAAGCTTTTTGACAAATTTATCTTTTAATAAACATATTGCTTTGCATTTAAATGGAATCTGGATTCAGATGTATAAAACTGAACCTCTCACTTGCCCAGTGAAATGTAATGGCTATACAATTTGAAGAATGTCTAAAATATGTGACGAATGGACTCAGATTCTTTTAATCTGACAGATTTTTCTGTTTAGTTTTGCACTGAGTTGGAGTTTGTAAATATGTATCTTTGCACTATCTATGAATTAGACAAGTCCTTGTTTTTCATTATTTAGTGAACCAATGAAAGTAAGTATTTCTTGCTCAGTGATTTCCTTAATTTTTTTTCTCTATCCAAACTCTGCTAAGATTTATGGGAAGCACAGTTTTGTGTGGCTTTGTTCAGTGCTAGATGGAGAGATTCTCATTATTTAAAGTACTTGATTAGGGAAAATCCCATACCATCTATCCATCGATCAGAAAATAGTAATTCACAGCTCCATTAGGCACTACAATGGCTTTGTGTGGATTAATACAGTGCATCTAACACAGTGAATGGAACCCATGGTAATTCAGAGCACCTGAGCTAAGAGCTTAGCATTTACCTTTTTAAGAGCTAGGCTTTCCGCCTAAGCGGTCTTGGACTGGGGTGGGGAGTTGTACTGGCTTTTGCTGTGGTAGAGTTAGTTTCCATCACAGTAGCTAGTATGGGGCTGTGTTTTGGATTTGTGCTGAACACACGGTTGATAACACAGGGGTGTTTAGTTATTGCTGAGGGCTTTTCTTCTCCTCAGCCCACCCCACCGGCAAACAAGCTGGAGATGCACAATGAGTTAGGAGTGGACACAGCCAGGGCAGCTGACCCAGACTGCCCAAAGGGACAATCCTATACCATGTGGGTGTCACATTGGGCATATAAAACAGGGTGAAGAAAAAGGAATGGGGGTCACAATTGGAGTGATGGTGTTTGTCTTCCCAAGTCACTGTTATGTGTGATGGAGCACGGCTTTCCTGGGGATTGATGAACACCTGCTTGGCCATGGGAAATGTTGAATGAATTCCTTGCAATCTTCTTCTTGTGCACATGGCTTTTGCTTTACCTGTTACACTGTCTTTCTTCACTTTTACCCTTCTGAGCCTCTCCTCAGTCCCAGTGGAGGAGTGAGCGAGTGGCTATGTGATGCTTAGTTGACAGCTGGGATTAAAAACCACAACAGGAGTTTTAATGTTTAATCATCAATGAGTCACAGGATTTCCTTAATTTATGGATGTGTATAATGTATTCAGACACCTCATTCTCATTATTTTGGGTATTGCATATGTTGGAGACACTGTGTCATTTATCTGCATCGGTGCACTTATGTCTCTTGAAACTTTTGGAAATGCTGCTCCATGTACATGGGCATTAGTCCTTGACTGTCTCTGATTTTAAGCCCCTGAAATGGAAGGTGTGTCCTATGGAACTGCCCACCTAACTGTCCGTAAGGTGCTGTTTATTTGCACAGGATTGCATTAATTACATGCAATCTAAGAAACATGCCAGAAAAGTAATAAAACAGATACAGCTGAAATATCTCATGGTCCAGATTAAGTGTGAAGACATCCTTTTCAGACTCCTACCCAAGTTACAGGATTCGTTTTGCTGATGTAAACCAAACAATTCATAATAAAGCCATAAACAATGTTTAAAATCCATCCTCTGGAAACTGCAAAAGGCAGTTGTCCAAGATTCCCTTTTAGCAAAATAAGCTGTCTGAAGCACCTTTTTAGGAGCATAAGAGAAGACTCCTAAGAATTCAGAATTGAGGCACTGAGAAAATTAAACACACATGGACTCTTTGTTCCTTTTAAAATGTTCTTTCTTTTGCTTTACTGTAATTCTGCCTTTTACATTAAACAATATTTTCTATGTATGGAAGCTGTCTGGTCAAGTCTACTAATCCTGGCCAGAAGTATAAAAAGGAAAAGCTAAAGTCAAGTTAAACATGGTGAGAAAATACAATGAGGGAATGGGCTCTGGAAGCTCCAGCCAAACTTTGTCAAATACTGTGAGCTTCCAGCTGAGTTGAGAGTTTGAGGCAGAAGGTTTTTCTTGGATATTTGAGAACAGAAGGAGCCACAAATCCATGACACACTTCTTTTTCTGAAATATATTTTCTCTTGTTTCATAGACAAGATGTTGAAATATAAACAATTTCAAGTATTTCCAAGTTGTACATTCAGAACCCCCCACACACTAAACTATTCCTTCTTTATTTGCGTTTGATTTGGGTTTTTTCCTTCATCAGAGAAAATGTAATGAAATGTGGTATTCTCTATCGTTTCTAAGATCTGGAATCTGTTTCTTTGGTTGAGAAAAATATTAAGCTCAAGCATTATAGAGTGGTGACATGAGAATTTCTCAGATTTTTTTTTTTCCCAAGACTGATACACTCATTTTCTCAGTGCTAAATACACAGATGCTAGGGTTATCTGAAGCAGAAAGTTCACTGTTTGCTTCAGGCACTACATCTGACTGTAATCTTTCATTTGTCTGTCAGTCCTGTGTGGTGATTTTTGGTGTTAATGTGACATGCATTAGTCAATTAACCCTTAAAGTTCAGTTTCAAAAAACATCCTCTTTTTCTCTTGTGTGGAAGAGGTCCCTTATGTATGTGCCTCGTGAGACAGCTGTCATGAGACTTCATACGCTGTTGTACCTATAAGCTCAGGTCTGTACCTCCTTGAAGAGAAGCCTGCAATTCCTGATAGCTGGTGGATTATCTAAGTAGGGGGTTAAGTTCATGTATCATGGGTTTTTCATAGAATTATAAATCATATATTATAAATTATTCTAAATATGATTATAAATCATAAGCTTGTAATAGAGTTTGTAAGTCACTTTGGGTTAAGCAGCACTATGAGCACTTGTGCAGCTGCAATAAATAAATTTATCATTTCACATAAACATTAGCTCAGAGCTTTTAGCATCCCACACTTAATAGTTA